TAAATACGACCCTCTTGGTTAGGGACCTCCAACGCACGATAGGCCCTGATCTTTACTGCGGGCGAAACTGATGCCACCAAAGGAAACGACAATCTCATTCTTCGTTGGTGACAAGTAGTTTTCGTAAAGTCGTTCAAAGGAAGGACTTTGTCGGCTCAGTACCCTTGAGGGTAAACCAATCAACGACAGAATCTCGCAGAAAACATTACATTGTCTCGGGTGCAGGATTCAAGTCAACAAACAAATTGGTGATTTGCTGAGAAATGACGCGTGCGATACGTGCCGGGAGGGGGGTCATCAAACCACCCAAGTCGAACAGTTGACTGCTGTTATGAACGGATGGGTAATGGAATGACGTACTTTAGGATTCGCCATTTTCCTGTGCAACATTTCAGAACTCAGCTTGGCTCCCTGACGCGACGAACGGTCGCGAACACTGAGCGCTTTCTGGCGGATTTTCATAATAGCTGAGGCACGTCATTTTGGGATTCGGGTTGAGTGTCTTGCGCGCTCAGGATAATCCATCTCTGTTTACCCTGCAAGCCCACCGATCGCACTCCACAATATAAACCAAGATATCTTCGTTCAGAGAACAAAGAACCAAATCTTCGAGCTAGCTCCACCATTTGCTGCTAACGTTTCAAAAGAACGTTGACTGACAAGTGAGTCAGATGATCCCGGCTGGACGATGCCAAAGAGGAAGGGTTACTTACTGTTCACCATTTTTTACGGAGATGTTTCTAATCCGACATTAAACACAATGGGCAAAATGACTAGGAGCAGGCGAGTGCTGCCAACGTCGCTGGTGGAAGGGCATTTGCCACACCACACTCAGCCCCTCCACCAATGGCGCTGGCAACAACCGCCCGCCCCCAGCCATCAGTCTGTTGCCTTTAAGCCATGCTAGAACACGTCACGCTATCTCGGAGGAAGGGCGCAGACTAGCAGAAATGACGTGACTTCGCCTCGCTGGAAAAAACCCCCTCCCGAGACATACAGCACCGAGAAATTTCCCTGTGATGCTGCAACGGAACCCTTTATTGACACTATAGAACGAGAAACAGTACGACACGCCTGCTCTTACAAAAAAGCCAATTCTTCGCCTTCTCACGCAACGATCATGAATCATCTGCGATAACATACGTGCCGCTAAATGGAACACAAAGCTTACCAACAATTCACGAATCAAATGATAACGATAGCGTATTGATCGAACTGTTCCCCCCCCCTAAGGCACCGATGCTCAACCAACGAACTAGTCCTTCCAGGATTAATGAGCCCCGGACTCGCTCCATAGTCACGCTGCAAGCACAGTGCAATTCCCATTTACCTCCGTAATAGCCTTCTAGGAGGAAGAGGACTGAAGAAGATGGATGGAAAAAAGCTTGAAATGGGAGATGCGTATCAAGACCTCCCTTATCGTTTGGAAAAACGAGCGTACAAAAAAGACATTCAAAGATTTTATCCAATCTAGACTCACCGCTCCTTACGACGACTTTTATGAGACGCAGTTTAGCTTGCTTCCCAAGATTGAACGCATGCCGCAGTGCGTCATTAGCTGAAATAGGAGGCCCATAAAAAGAAGCAAGAGAATTTCAATCAGCATTAATGGCAGTTTGAGAAAGGAATTTTGCAAGCGAAGTCGTTTTGTCGTTTTTTAAGCCAGCGAATGTCATAATTCTAAGGCTGATACTTTCCAGCGGCAATATAACATCATCAATTATGCCACCTGAAGGTCCAGGAGAAGAAATAAAACTCTACTGCATGTTTCAACGCTCGCAATAGCAAATATTTCGAACTAATAAAATATGGAAGTATTAGCTATGCCACCAGTATGCGCAGACCAGCGTCAAATCCGAGATCAGCTATCACCCAAGCAATCTGAGTGTTCTTCTTTCCGGGGCTAAGAAACTTGGTACCAAATTCGTCTAGGAGGACAAATAGAGAACTGTACACGAGCTGGCTTCCGCAATCCATTACATTGAGCACAAACGGTAACGGTTGAAGTTTCGCCAT